TGCCGAGGTCAACAGCAAAGCTTTTCCGGCGCCTCCAGTAAACAAGCTTTCCCGAACAAGGAGGAGAGGAGAGGACAGAGGAGAAAATCAGCGTCCCAAATTCCCAACGAGACAAACAAGAACCAATTAGATCGCCCAGGGATCGATGGAGCCCGATCCGTCCCAGTCGCCGACTGGGGGATCTTCCTCGCTCATCTTCCTGGGAACGGGCTGCTCCGGCGCGCTGCCCGACGCGCGGTGCCTCCTCAAGCCGTCAACGCCGCCCTGCGCCGTCTGCTCCATGGGCATCTCCCAACCGCCGGAGGGGAACCCCAACTACAGGTGCGCGCAGTACGGACACAGGCGACGACTTTCAGATAACTTCATATTCCAGATAGATAATTAGCATTTCACGTTTGCTGAAATGCAATTTCTCATGTTGTTCTAGATGTATTAGAAAAGTCGAACATACTTTACATGAATGGTCTAAGATATATTTAGATAACTTTGTGAGGGCACTTTGACAAGTAATTTTATCTGTGCTTATCTGACAAAATGCATATGCCTGTTTGCTATCAGGCTCAACACCTCTCTCTTGATAGACTATTGCCATGACGATGGAACCCACAAGTACATCCTAATCGACATCGGCAAGACATTCAGAGAACAAGTTCTCCGGTGGTTTGTCCACCACAAAGTTCCTTATGTTGACTCGGTGAGATATTCGACAGTGCATTCTTTTCTGGAAAGAAAGGATGCTCACCCTCTCAATTCTGTGCACTGCAGATCATTCTGACTCATGAGCATGCAGATGCTGTATTAGGCCTTGACGAAGTCTGGGTGGTACAACCAAGAAATGACCGAAACGATGTCGAGCAAATTCCTATCTTCCTCACGCAATTCACGATGGACAGGTTCATCTTCATCTTTAGCTTTCCCAGTGAACTGAAAAAAGAAACTCGGATTAGTCACCAGAACATATCCTGTAATAACAGCAACCGTGAATTTACAGTATCACGAGAAGATTCCCCTACTTGGTGGAGCAGAAACCAGAGGATGGCGATGAAGATGCCCAAGTCGCAAAAATCGACTGGAAGATAATTGAGGATGATGTCGACAAACCCTTTGTAGCGTCAGGGCTACAGTGTGTGCCGTTGCCGGTAACAACCAGCGCTGTTGAGCGTTACTTTGATCTTGTTACATGTTTGCCTCCTGGAGTGCTTACTTACCTTGCTATTCTGTGTTCAGGTAATGCACGGAGAGGGGTATATTTGTTTAGGCTTCTTATTTGGGAGGAGAGCTAGAGTTGCATATTTATCTGATGTCTCAAGATTTCTACCTAAAACCGAGCATGGTAAAAAGGAAATATTGGTCCATAATTCGTTATTCAGATAATTAGAATGCTTGTTGTGGATCACAGATGGGAGGGTTGTTAATCAATACAGCATGACGTTTTTCACTGACATATGTTTAAGGGGTAGTTGTAATGAAACAGAAAGATGTTATTAATCTGTTAAACAGCATCCAAAATTCTCGACATTGTTTATGATGTCCTTGATAATCTAGCAGGTTAAGTATCTAATGTTGTTGCTAAAACTGTATATCAAATCCTATATGTGGGGCACCGAAAATCATAAAAGTGTACACGTTAACTTCAGTGATTTCATCTGATCAAATTCAATGGTAGTAACACTTTTCAGTATGTTTCTTGGAGACCAGAGTCTTAGTACGTGTCAGTTATCAAATAATAGTATTAACAAGGTTGCAAATCATAATTTCACATGGTAAAACATCTAATAGCTATTTTTTTAGTTGGACTTTCTTGTTTCCTGCATATTATACTGCTCCATGTTACCGAGTGGAATGCTGAATTGCTGATGTTGAGTCTTCGCCTCTAGCTATTTCAAAATCTGGTGCTGGACAAGTTGATCTACTTATACTAGAAGCAACTCTTTGCATGGAGTCGTAAGCCCACCCCTCATTGCCTGTCAGAGAATACAAATTGATGATTATTTGATATGACTAAATTCCAAATGCTGTCAAATATGTTGATACTCTGACACAGACTTCATGTTCTGAACAGGGAGATTCTTTCAGCACCCATTTAACTCTGAGTGAGGTTATTTTTCAAGGACTTCCTAATATTTTGTCTTGAAGTTTTTTTCATCAGATTTGCTTAGCAAACTGTGAAGTGTTCCTTGTATAGGATAATGCTATTTGCTTCAACATGAAATCAATATCCTATTATTTTGCAGAGTCTTGATGCTATCAAGAGGATCCATCCTAAAAGAGCTCTGTTGATTGGAATGAGGCATTTTTTGGGGCATCAGAGAGAAAACCAGATGTTGGCAGAATGGTCTATCAGGTACGTCCGTGTGTAGCTGCTGAAATAGTTACATTCTTCCTGTATTTTCTCTAAGCCTAAAGGACCTGTCTCATGTGTAAGCTTGTATGATTATAGAGAAGGAATACCGACACAACTGGCTCATGACGGCCTGCGAGTCTTCATTGACTTGTAATAAGGTATGCAAGGTCGCTATGCAATACTCGAGGGCCTGACTAGTTGGTAACTTTGAACAATTTCAATCATGTCAATGCAGATTACAGCATCCATGTATCTTTTGCTGATTCAGCGAAGATCCGCCATAGCAGTAGTTTCAGCAGTTATTTTGTGATCTTTTATGTATTCAAAATATTTTAAGTTTGCTCATGTAGATTTTATATACACTATGTAGTATATTGTTCTATTATTCTCAAATAGGTGTCATTAACTGGAGGCCACACTGATGTCCTAAGCGACAAGTAAATAAAAGAGGGTGTATGTGGGGGAAATACCCTTTGGTTCCTGGGTGTATATGCACCTCATATAGGAAATAATAAAAAAAAAGTCAAAAAAGTTTGGAAGTTTTTTGCAATGAACTTGACTTTCTTTTGCACTAGTATACAAATTTTCACGAATAGAAAACCAACGTTGACTTCAGGGAAAAATACAATTTAATTGCTATTACAGGTCACTATTCGCACTATTTTGACCGAATTTTCTATCTTTTTTTTAAAAGAAGTCAACGATATTTTTTATTTTTGTGGAATTTTTTTTACCAGTGCATTGGAATGTCAAGTTTATTTCAAAAGTACTTTCAGGATTTGTGACTTTTTATTTAATTACTAAATATAGTTTTCATATAGGGTGTATATACATCCTTAGACCAAAAGTTTCCCTCCGTGTATGTGGTAACAAATCCTCTGCGGCCGACGGCAGTGAGAACTTGCTCCCCTTGTGCCGGTCTCCGAAGTCCGTTGTTCCACCGGTAGGTGGCGACAAGCTACAGGATCGGACTACTCCAATGGTGGTGGCGACCGTTCTCTGGAAGGAGGATTAGTGCATCGAGGGGAGGCATGCTGTCGCGGGTAGCAGAGCAGGACGGAAGGGATCGGCGGCAGGATCGCATGGCGGTGACAGGCCCTATGCGGTCACGTGCTGGTGCTATGGAGCTGTCTCGGCACCGTCGAGGCAGCATTAAGGTCGGGGTGCTGTGGTGCGTGTGGACTTCACGCCCCCAGGGGTGGGCCCAGTTCAATTCATGGGTATTCAGTTGAATAGCTACAATTTTTGCCAAAGAAATTTACATATATACCGTGTGTACCATGTATTATATCGGAAAGGCAATATGTACGCAGAATAGCAGGCTGCATACGCTTTCAGCCCAAGGGAATAGACAGCCTCTTTCCGTTTCTCTACCCTCCCGCTCAACATGGCCCAGTGGCCCAATTGTCTTTTATCTAGTAGTCGGTCAGTCCCAGCCCAAGTAAAAACTCTGTAGTCCTCTAAAAAAAAGTGAAAACTCTGTAGTGGACGTGGGGTCAATTGCACGATCGACCGATCACACGAACCTGCGCTTCCACACTCCCAGTTCTCATCGCTAGCACGCCGCACGGCCGCACGGCGACAGGGGCATCGGACGCAGTGGCGGGCGGGCAGCCGGGCACACGACGGTGCCGCACATACATCCGGCACATGGAGATAGAGTCCAGGCGTTGATCTCGTTCGTTAGTCAACACATCAATCTTTCCATTTACGTTTTATAAATTTTCTCCATCTAATGTGGTCACGTGGGTTAATTTTTTGATTGTTGTCTCCGATTCAATCTATGGAGGTGCTTCATAGTTGTTTGTTGGTCAAATTTATTTATTTATTTTGGAGACATGGTATTAGTAGTACCGGATGTGAATTTGTTTTGGATGAATTGACATTAATCATATCGATTGTACCCTCCATTTGTATCAGATGTCATCACTTTGATATGTCCTAAATAATTTGTCCTTCATATGTTGAGCAATTCCAAGTTATGATCCCAATTAAAAAAATCAAGTTATGATCACTTATATGAATCTGAGATATTATTCCCAATTCTATGTTTATTTTATACACTTCGGATAGCATGGTGCTATAATAATTTATACTTGCCGAAAATAAGAGGTTGCAAAAAATTTACAAATCTTCGAAATTTTGAATACACACTCCCAAGAATCCTGGGCCCGCCCCTGCACGCCCCAGACGCAAGGCGGCGCCCCTGAGCAGGTGGGTGGTGGCGCAACATGCTTGGTCGGCGATCCGCAATGACTACAAGCGGTACAACAGATGGCTTGGGATGATGCAGCGGCAGCCCTGCGTGCAGCATGCCCAGTACACGATGCGTGATGACTGTGAGCGGTACGACGAAAGGCGCGGGATGATGTGGTGGCAACGGCAGTGGCCCTGCGCGTGACAGATTTGGTGACCGGCGACGGCAAGGCAGTGTTCAGTAGGCATCGATGAGCATATAGCTCCCGCCGCAAGTATAGTCGGGCCACATCGGCACCTCCCCGTCAGCATCAAGCAAGGTGGCACCCGCTTCTCTCCATGAGGACATTGGGGCACTGGCCCCGAGGATGTGGTGGATGTCGTACGCCGGCTCATGCCAGTGTGGAATGGCTGCGGCCAGCTCTGCGCTACAACATGTGAGGTTGTCGGCGGGGAAGCGTCGATATCAGAGATTGCTGAGATCCCCTTTTAGATGTTCGGAGAGAGGGAGGCTTTGTTTATCCAGGTTCGTGCCATGGAGGTGTAACACCTACGTCTTGTGCGGTGTTCTTGTTGTTCTTTGGTTGTGTCTGTGTTTACAAATACGGTTTTTTTTCTTCTAAGTTTTAGTAAGTGAGTACACTAGAACCCAAGGTTGTTCTAGCGTTTTGCATTGCAGCCCCATTCTTAAATATAAAAATATTGCTGCCCCTTATCTTGGCTGATCCTCTTGAGACAACAGCAAACCACAGATCGTTACTTCAAAGATGCAAATGGTGAAACAAAATTTGAGAGTAAGCATTACATAATCTCCAAGATTTTTTCCCCCGCCAATTCTGAGGAAGAAATATTTCAAGAATTAATCAGAACTTTCAGAATTCGAAGACATAAATTGAAAGTCTTTTTTTTTGTGAATACACAAATTTGAAAGTCTTGAAGATTAGGAAATCAAAAACTTTCATCGTCATGCATTTCGAGCTCAACTTGTTTCGTACTACAAAGAAATCATAAGGTACTCCTACTTCGAGCTCTGTTCGTCCTGTTGGTGTTGGGTTTCGTAGTAATTTCAAAAAATTTCCTACGCACACACAGGATCATGTGATGCATAGCAACGAGGGGAGAGTATTGTCTACGTACCCAACGCAAACCGACTGCGGAAGCGATGACACGACGTAGAGGAAGTAGTCGTACGTCTTCACGATCCAACCGATCAAGCACCGAAACTACGGCACCTCCGAGTTCGAGCACATGTTCAGCTCGAT